AGGCAGGAGAATTGCCTGAACCCAGGAGGCGGAGGTTGCGGTGAGCCGAGATCGCGCCATTGCACTCCAGCCTGGGTAACAACAGCGAAGCTCCGTCTCAATAAAAAAAAAAAAAAAAAAAAAAGGGCAAATAACATATCAGAATTATTATGAATATTGTTTGACCTCATCTATGCCCTGAAAAAATCTTGGGGATTCCCAGGATTTGTGGACCACACCTTGAGAACTGCTATGTTACTCAATGGCTGGCATAGAGTAGGAATCATGTAATTAGTATGGACTGAATGGAGAGGCCTGGAAGCCAGGGAGGAAGTGCAGGTCGGGTGGGTACATCTGGATGCCTTTCAACCCAGGTGAAATTTGGGTATTGTCCACCTGCTCCTCCATTCCCCATGTCAGGGTAGACAAATGTGAGTCATAGTTAGCAAAATGCCTCTCAGCTGGGCCAGAAGCCCTGGTTCCCCTGCTGGACCCACCCCTCACCCCTCCTTCCAAGGCAAGCAGGCAGGAATGCGGGGGAGAGGTGACTGAGGCTCCATTGCCCCCATGGGGGAGGAAAGTGCCAGACATTTCTTTGGGACCATCCATCAAGTGCAGGCAGGCCTCTCCCCTGACCTCCCAGGCCTCTTTCTGGAGTCCACCCTGTAGGACCTGGACGTAGGGTGACCACGGGGAGCTTGGAGTTTTGGCGTGCCACTGCTCTCTGGTACACAGCTGGCAGTTTGGGATGAAGAAAGGATAAATTGCTCCCCTCCTGTCCAGTGATTCTGATTGTTTTGTGCTTGCTGCCCACCCTTTTTGGCCCCAGTCAGGCTTGATTTATTGGGACAGGGAGCAGACATGGTCCAGACATGGTCCAAGCCTGGGATGAACAGCACTGGGAAGGCCTAACCAAGAGATGGTTGTCCTGGTAACCACAGCTACTCAACTTCCTGATGGGCCCTGGTGGCCCTGTAGCCTCCCATGCCCCAGCGCCTCCTCCCCAAGGGTAGTAGACAGCCCCTGAAGAGACTGGCTATGATCGAGAGCCCTGTGGGGCCTAGGAGGTTAGATCAGGGTGGGTCTGGGACAGCTACGGTGTCTTGGGCTCTGGGGAGGAGAGTCTTAAATGAGGTGGGGAAGAGGGGCGGGGAGTGGACGACTGAGGAGCTCCAGAAGCACAATTCTAGGAAATTGCCGGTCAGATCCTTCCGGGGCAGCCTGGCTCCGCTGCGGGCACCAGGAGGGGAGGGGGCAGTGGGGCGGAGGTGAGGAGGGGCCTAAAGAGTCGATGATTTCAGCGGCCCGAGAACTTTCACTGCAACTAAGGAGATTTCCTTCCGGAGGAAGGCTCCTGAAGCCAGGAAGAGCTGGGAAAGCCATTCCTGAGGGGGCAGGAGGGTAGCAAGAAAGCGCTCCCCCCAGGCTGGGGAGACCGTCTAGTGCCAGGAACCTCCGCCCACATGGGAGGGGCCGTCTAGCCTCTCAGTTTCCCGGGCTGTCCCGCCTAGTACGTTTGGGAGGGGTGGGGACCACAGGGTTTCCCCAGAGTATGGTAAGAATAACAATAACAATTGGCATTCAATTGTGCCTTGCAGTTGACAGAGGCTTTCACATACATTATCTCATCAGCCCACGTGACGACCCTGGAAGAGAGGGGCGGCCGGAGAAGGCAGCTCAGCAGGCTGGTGGGAGGGCCAGCTGGAGGCTTGTGCAGAGGGAACCCACGCCCAGCCAGCCCCGAACAAGGCCAGGGCCTGGAACAAAAATGGAGCTGACAGAAACAGACAAATAACCTCCTCCACCCCCTTTTTTCTCTGCGTCAAAGGATTTGAGTAATTTATTTATCATAGCAGTATATTTAGTAATTATTATTTTTAAAAAGATTTATACCTTTCAGGATAGATCCGTGGAATCTAATTAAGCAGAGGCCAGTTTGGCAGACTGAAAGTCAATTTTTTAATTAAATTGCAGGAGCTATTTAAAAAACAAAAACAAAAAAAAAACAAATAAAAACACTGTCCAGGGAGATCAGGGAGATTTTTAGGTTGGAACACAAGTAAGATTCCCAGGTGAGGTGTTCACCACGAAGATGAAGGGTTAGGAGGCGGCACAAAGCCAGGTGAGGATGCTCTGAAGGAAGATGAGACCACATCCCATGCCTGCTCCCAGACTGCATTCTACCAGGAACAGGGGAGGTGGTGCCAGAAACCTCCTTGACTGTACCTCAAACCAAGGTTACAGAAGCAGTGAGAGAGTCCATATAGGAAAAGAACCCAGCCACCCACGTCCATACCACATACACAGGCATCAGTATGTCAGAGGATAGGCTGGATGCCCTTTAAGAAACTTTCCATTTGGAGGCCAAGGCGGGCGGATCACCTGAGGTCGGGAGTTCAAGATCAGCCTGACCAACATGGTGAAGCCCTGTCTTTAAAAAAAAAATAAATAAATAAATAACAAAAAAAGAAACTTTCCAAAGGGAAGATTCCATAATCAGGCACATCTGTTCATGACAGTGGCACCCTGTCTGGACTTGATGCAATCATCCCAGTGTGACTGTCTGCCTTTGGCTTCCAAATGTGGACTACATATCGTATGCCTTGGCTATTGTATGTCCGATGATCAGGTCAGCCCACTAAACTTCCAGCAGGCAAAAACTAGGCCAAAATACCATGCAGATCCCAGTGTTCAACATTGGCACAATTTCAGTCTTCTATCAAGTGAGAGGCAGGGCAAAGTTGGGTAAGAGGCTGGACTCTGGAGATAGCCTGCCTGGGTTTAGAGCCCAGCTCTGTCACTCCTAATCCATGTAACCTTGGGAAAACTACTCAGCTTCCTTCTGCCTTCTGTAACTCAGGAATGATCATAAGACCTACTTCATAGGTTTGTTTTGAGAATTACATGACTTAGTAATTCCTGT